TTTTAATAAATAATTTTTTTTTTTTATAGATTAAATAATATTATAACCTTTGTGTGATATTTCACAAACAGTTTTATATTTATGTTTGAATTTATTACTCAAAAAATATCATTTAGCGTCATTTTACATTATTCGATTTCTTAGGAATATAATATATAATTAGATGCACTGCGTATATAATTAATATCGAGAAAATAGGAAATGGAGATAAATGACGCTCGCCCATGCCGGTTGCACCGGAGCCAAAATGAATAAACAAGTACGTAAATATGTGTAATAGCTAAGTCGACCACGTCTCTTCACATAAATTAAGCTCTTGTCCCATTTGGTCCCAGGAGAAATCGTTCTTCAATATTAGTCTTCCCGAATTTATTGACACTGAAATTGCGTTATCGGAGATTTTAGCCAAATATACTTTCTATATTAAATCTTATGTACAATTTGTTATAATAAAAATTCCAATTATCTATTTTTTTTCTTGCTGCTGAAAAATATTATATCTAGTGTCAAAGTATATTAAAAAAAAAAAAAAAAAAAAAAAAATATGTTAAGATAGAGAGAGAAAAAATAAAATATCTATAAATACATTATAAAAATATACAATAGTATGCGAGTAATTCATTATTGATTCGTTATGCGAATAAGGATTATTTTATTTGAAAAGCAATTATAACGTCTATAACTTAAAGAAGTAACGAATAGTTACTCATGTTTATTATATGTAACTAAAGAAACTAACCGCAAGCAAAAAGTACGGAAAAATTGTTAAGGCTGGCCAATTTTTTCGATCATCTCACACCTTTATCAAGATCAAGTTTAATTTTGGAGCGGTAATGGTCGAAGGCTATAATCAAATTTAATGAGTCCTCAAGGATCTCGTGCCTAACGGAGTGCGTCAGCCGGCTGCCGCGCGTCATTCATCGCCGGCATACTCTTCGATAATAATTTCGGCGACGGCAAGAATATCCCGGTGTGCGTATGAGCTATGTGGCAATGTATTGCGACACCTATAAATAGGTGACCCAGAATGAGAGATCTGTTTATCATTGGTCGGCGATTTTATTGCTGGTCCCTGTCGCGCCCCGTTTCTTGCCGTTTGTCGCATTCGTGGGATTCGCTGCATATAGAGAGTAGAGAGCGAGAGGGTAAATCTCATCAGACACACACGCCGGAATCCGTGCGTTCGGTGCATTCGGTGCATATTCGCGTCCGCGAGCCGGTCGCTCGACGCATCCACCGCGAGCCGGAGAAAGTCTATTTTCTTGGTTGCTGTGTTTGTTGCTTGCGCAGAGAGGAAGAGGCACGAAAGGCCGTCTAGGCGATATCTGAAGAGAACATCGTCCCATATAAGATCGCCGTGAGTATATATCCGTGAGATGAAAGGCAAACAGCATCCCTGGCTACACTCTTAACTGGTGACGAGGTTTCTACGCGAACTCTTTTTTAATGTTCTCATTTTTTCTTCGGAACAATTGGCTCTGCTTCGCGGATTTAATTTTTTGCGTCAATTTTTTGAAACTCAAAAATTTCTAAAAAGAAAAATTACTCTACTCCCCGAATATATTAAAAAAATACGATATTAGGGAGAGAAAAGATGATTATTTATGTCGCCAAGTAAGAGTTGAATGAATTGATACACACAATCATATTTTTTTCTCTTATTAAGAGATAAAAAAATACTTAAAATATTTGATTTAAAATTCTCAGATGTTTTTATAAGAAAATTTATATCGTATCAAAATTATTAAATATCACAATTCTTAGAATGTGTATGGAACTTATTATAGACTCAAGTATACTAATTTGAATATAATGCTGTAACAAGAATATTTGATTTTTATAAGTCCTCTGTAATTCAAACAATTTCAATGAATTAAGAATCTATTTTACCGGAAATTAATCTCATTCTTTCGTCGGGGAAAATCTTTGATCTTTACTTGACATTTAGAAAGATATGATATACCAGAGAAAGTGGCAGCGAGATGATGACGTCTAGTTTGCTTATTAGCTTTCAGACTTACCGCCAGTCTTCCCAGAACAGATCTTAAAGGAGGAGACAGTGATCGAGCGGTACGAAGAAGAGAAGATCGTCGTCGAACCGTTGTCCGCCGAAGAAGAGGTCAGGCGAGAGGAGGAAAAGCTCGTGGAGGAGAAACCGGTGGACGCCAACAGCGAGATCGTGCCCAACAAAAATCTCACGGATGACGAGATCGCACAGCTGATCCTCGAGGAGGAGGAGCTCTTGTCCGATAAAGGATTACTGGGGTACATTTTCACGATTGTCGAGTTGATTGATGATGACATTCTGTGCAATATTAAAGATTATCAGTATCCATCCCCTTGTCATCCTTTTTATTTATAAAAACAATGTTATAATAATATTAATATATATTAAAAATAATATCACAATTAACTTAAATAAGTTTTTAAATTTAAAAAATGTGAGTTTTTTTATGATAATAATAACGATAACGTCCATCTTTTCCATGCAATCGACAGGGTGAACTTTAAAAAGCTACGACCGCGTGCCCCGATCCTGAAAGATTCGAAGGTCTTGGAGGAACTGCAGCACATTGCAACAGCCGAGCCCGAGCGGACGCAAGAGCTGAAACGCACCTCCACTTTTTTACAGAAACCACAGCGACCGGTACCAAAGCCTAAGCGTGAGCAGAAGGTGGAAGAGGACGACGGCGAGAGCTACAAGGTTGTAATAAAAAAACAGGACAAAAAGACGGTGATCACGCGTCTTGTAGAAAAGGGCTTGCTGCCGCCAGGATCAGAGGCGAGCATCGCCGGGACACCGGAGCCGCCGGAACCATTCGAGGTAAAGATGCATGAAACGGAGAACAAGCTCGAGGAAGATTCCCCCATGTCTGACCCGAATCCCTCGTGTTCAATTTCCCCCCTTGATACCATCGACGATCCACTGTCGTCCTCGCGTTCTCTGCAACTCGATTCGAACATAACTCGTCCTTGCGAGGATCAACTAGGGCATCCCGCGACATATAAATGCAAGTCGAAGCTGTTCGACGTCAAACCAAATCATTATCGAAGATACAGTTCCGCCGACAGATACAACGAAGCCGGAATGAGGTCGCCCTTCAAGGGTCACTATCTGGAAAATGTCCTCTGCGGTTATGCTCACTCCTGCGTTTCCCGTGATCAACAGATTGATGATCAATTCGAGTTTGGAAAGACGAAATCGAGAAGCTTTTATTTTAAAAAATACTGGCCGAGAAGTATTGGTTTCGATTGTTTCTCATCAAGCGGGACCACTTCCAAAAGAAGGACGAGCAGATGCCCGCGAGCGCATTACGCAGAGAGAATTCTTCTACGAAACGTCAGTGCTATCACTCGGCACTTTCGTTCGAAGCCGAAGACAACTCGAATCGTCGCTTCTAAAACGAAACGTAGCAGAACGAAAGGAAGATATCTGGCGACATATTTGAGACGCGAGAGCACTCGGCTGGTATCCTTGATGACGACGTTATTCCAGTTTTTGTTGCAAAGATCAAGTGTCTCCGACTCATCGAATATATCAGAGATTCGCAAGCGACGTTTGAGTTTCAAAGGTCGCTATCTTAAACACGTTCTCCAGAAAAATGTCACTCCTGTTCTTCAACGCGTCAAAAAGACGCACTTGGTCGATTATCCAAACATAATCGAAAAGAAGAAAGACGAGCCAAAATCTACAAGGACAAAGGGACATTACGTAGAAAAATATCTTCATCGGCAGAATCTTTACCTGAAATCCGCGTTAGCGAATCTTCTCGGTTCCGCGAAGAATAGCTTCGACAATCTCTTCACTATTACCTCTTCGTCAAGAATGAAACGCGCAATGAGAGGTCGATATTTTGAGCGATTCATCCGTAGAAATCGGGAAATTTTCGAGCTATTCGCGGAATATGTTTGTATCAAGATCTCCGAATGGCTCGAGGAGGGTCCGTCATGCATATCGCAACAGGATTTTTCTGTCATCACCTCAAATTATATTGCTGATGATTCAGTCCTAGATGAGCAGATAATTGATGAAGATGTCTGCGACATAAAAATCTCCGGATGGCATGAAGATGGTCCCTCATGTTCATTGCAACAGGAATCTATCGTTATCGTTAATACTCCCGATAATCCGGAGCCAAACAAGGAGGAAACCGATGAGAACGATGTTCTCGAGTGCAATGTCAATCCGATTTTGCCTGAAGAAGTCGATGAGCTCTCTGTCTCACCTAAAATCCCAGAGAAAGAGGACACTTTTTCGAAATTCTTGCAGTCGACTGAGAATTTTATTTCCACCGAAGTCTTCCATCGTGGCAGTAGACGACTCTCGAAGTCGCGTAAATCCATAGATATCATCTCCGAGCAAGATGATACATTCTCGAAATTCCTGCATTCGGCTGAGAATTACGTTTCTACCGAAGTTTTCCATCGCGGTAGCCGAAGACTCTCAAGGTCGTTCAAGGACACGGAACAGGAAACGGGTGTTTTGTCGAGTCTCTTCAATTCGACCAGCGATTATGTCTCCAGCGAGGTCTTCCACCGCGGTAGCAGAAGATTATCAAAATCGTCCAGGAGGGAATCGGTTTCTCTCATGACTCCCGAAAGCATGTATTTCAATCTCCCTTGGTTCTCGCTGAGAGTCACCGATAAAAGCCATGAGGATTGCAAGGAGAAGATCGATTGCGACATCGAACGAGACACCCGAAGATTGTCATTCGTGCCTACAATCCTCTATCAAAGTATCACGAATCATATTGGTGTTGATTTCACGAAGCTGGTGGCTTACGCTTTTGTGCCTTGCACCTCGATCATCCTTCTGTATATGTATAAGTAGTCATTCTCATCTGACGATATTTATATGTTGTTTCGATGCGATTCTAACCGTTTTACCAGGCGTATACTTGTTTTATAGAGACTCTTATTAGATTATCGTGGATAATGTGTTGATCCATATAAAAATATTTCGTAAATAATATGTGCTCTTTTATTACAATCATAGTGCGTTTTGTTTTTCTTGTCACTAGAATGCGCACTAAAATGTGTTAAATTGATTTTATCCTATAAAATAAATAACCGGAATGCAAAGATACTTTATGTGAAAATCGATCCAATCTGTGTATGAGCGAAGATATAATTAATTTTTTCCCCTTATCCATGTGAAATAATTTTTAAGTAATTAAACTGTTGAAACTTGTGTTGTTTGTATTTAAACCTTCTGTCAATATCGTTATATACGTTATATGGTTTAATTGTTTTTCTACAATAATAATACGCGAGTGACAATAAGAAGAAATTGAAAATTTCATATTCATTATATATATATCATTCACTATCGTTATTTATTTTTTATTGCTATTCCAATTATTTAAAATTACTTAAGTTTTTATCATCTAATCGATTATAAAACTATAATTAAAACTATAATAATCATTATATTATAACTCAATTCGATATGGTATATTCTACAAGAGATATTCAATTTGGTTATTCAGAAAAGTAAGTATATATTCAATATCGATTTTTTAAACTGCTTTTTCCAAGATTTTTTGACGATTAAAAATTGTCGGAATTCTTAAATACTTTGTCTGCAATTTCGTTAACGCAAAAATTTGTTAGTTAAAGCTACTTATTTTTGGAAATTAATAGTTGATAATCAATTGATAATTTGTAATATTATCCACTGTCGAAGCAAAAATAAATTTTTTAATTTTCTGTACCATTGATCTTTTAGACCTGTAAACTTTTAACACACATATTATTCTTTACAAGCTAAAAATTATTGTATGGTATAAAAAGCAAAACAGTTTTTGATAAACTAAGGTTTTGTTTTGCAACAAATAATCATTCCCAGACCAAAAATCAATAAGATATCCAATAATCTTTTGAGAAATTCAGACTTTGTTCAGTGCATTCACAATTTTGATTTAGACAATAACACCAGTTGCAACACCAACACTCACATGTAGAACGGAGCAAGAAGGAAGATCTGAATCACGTTCCGCGTCAAAGGCAGAAGGTGAAGAGAAAAGTGACGAGACCGACGAGTTTAAGACAAAGGAGAGATCCGAGTCCAAGGAGGAAAATTATCGTTCTGAGTCCCGCGCGGCCGGGTCCAGCCAGGACGAGACAGCAGCACTCGAGGAAGATTCTAGCGTCTCAACGACGGATCGGGTGGTAACGAAAGCCGATAGTGAAAGAATCAAGGAACTGGTGACCACAGAGTTCAGTCTCGAGCAGCAGCTGGAGAACGTGCAGCGGCAATTACTCGCTCTGAAACAGCTACCAAGCGAGATTGAGAATCACCTGAAGATCGTATCCGAGCAACTCTACAAGATCATGGAGCTGAGTGGTATGCAGCGGTCTCTCGGTAACGGAAGTGGCGGCCATCACGGATCACCAGGTGACCAAGATTCGTAGTCATAGTCGAAATAGCCAAAATAGCGTACCCTGATTACTCTCTTACAAGAGAACCTCGCGAACCCGAAAATTCTGATTTTGATGAAACTTTACAGACATGTGGGGGGAGGGGGGCGCCAACAGCGAGATCGTGCCCAACAAAAATCTCACGGATGACGAGATCGCACAGCTGATCCTCGAGGAGGAGGAGCTCTTGTCCGATAAAGGATTACTGGGGTACATTTTCACGATTGTCGAGTTGATTGATGATGACATTCTGTGCAATATTAAAGATTATCAGTATCCATCCCCTTGTCATCCTTTTTATTTATAAAAACAATGTTATAATAATATTAATATATATTAAAAATAATATCACAATTAACTTAAATAAGTTTTTAAATTTAAAAAATGTGAGTTTTTTTATGATAATAATAACGATAACGTCCATCTTTTCCATGCAATCGACAGGGTGAACTTTAAAAAGCTACGACCGCGTGCCCCGATCCTGAAAGATTCGAAGGTCTTGGAGGAACTGCAGCACATTGCAACAGCCGAGCCCGAGCGGACGCAAGAGCTGAAACGCACCTCCACTTTTTTACAGAAACCACAGCGACCGGTACCAAAGCCTAAGCGTGAGCAGAAGGTGGAAGAGGACGACGGCGAGAGCTACAAGGTTGTAATAAAAAAACAGGACAAAAAGACGGTGATCACGCGTCTTGTAGAAAAGGGCTTGCTGCCGCCAGGATCAGAGGCGAGCATCGCCGGGACACCGGAGCCGCCGGAACCATTCGAGGTAAAGATGCATGAAACGGAGAACAAGCTCGAGGAAGATTCCCCCATGTCTGACCCGAATCCCTCGTGTTCAATTTCCCCCCTTGATACCATCGACGATCCACTGTCGTCCTCGCGTTCTCTGCAACTCGATTCGAACATAACTCGTCCTTGCGAGGATCAACTAGGGCATCCCGCGACATATAAATGCAAGTCGAAGCTGTTCGACGTCAAACCAAATCATTATCGAAGATACAGTTCCGCCGACAGATACAACGAAGCCGGAATGAGGTCGCCCTTCAAGGGTCACTATCTGGAAAATGTCCTCTGCGGTTATGCTCACTCCTGCGTTTCCCGTGATCAACAGATTGATGATCAATTCGAGTTTGGAAAGACGAAATCGAGAAGCTTTTATTTTAAAAAATACTGGCCGAGAAGTATTGGTTTCGATTGTTTCTCATCAAGCGGGACCACTTCCAAAAGAAGGACGAGCAGATGCCCGCGAGCGCATTACGCAGAGAGAATTCTTCTACGAAACGTCAGTGCTATCACTCGGCACTTTCGTTCGAAGCCGAAGACAACTCGAATCGTCGCTTCTAAAACGAAACGTAGCAGAACGAAAGGAAGATATCTGGCGACATATTTGAGACGCGAGAGCACTCGGCTGGTATCCTTGATGACGACGTTATTCCAGTTTTTGTTGCAAAGATCAAGTGTCTCCGACTCATCGAATATATCAGAGATTCGCAAGCGACGTTTGAGTTTCAAAGGTCGCTATCTTAAACACGTTCTCCAGAAAAATGTCACTCCTGTTCTTCAACGCGTCAAAAAGACGCACTTGGTCGATTATCCAAACATAATCGAAAAGAAGAAAGACGAGCCAAAATCTACAAGGACAAAGGGACATTACGTAGAAAAATATCTTCATCGGCAGAATCTTTACCTGAAATCCGCGTTAGCGAATCTTCTCGGTTCCGCGAAGAATAGCTTCGACAATCTCTTCACTATTACCTCTTCGTCAAGAATGAAACGCGCAATGAGAGGTCGATATTTTGAGCGATTCATCCGTAGAAATCGGGAAATTTTCGAGCTATTCGCGGAATATGTTTGTATCAAGATCTCCGAATGGCTCGAGGAGGGTCCGTCATGCATATCGCAACAGGATTTTTCTGTCATCACCTCAAATTATATTGCTGATGATTCAGTCCTAGATGAGCAGATAATTGATGAAGATGTCTGCGACATAAAAATCTCCGGATGGCATGAAGATGGTCCCTCATGTTCATTGCAACAGGAATCTATCGTTATCGTTAATACTCCCGATAATCCGGAGCCAAACAAGGAGGAAACCGATGAGAACGATGTTCTCGAGTGCAATGTCAATCCGATTTTGCCTGAAGAAGTCGATGAGCTCTCTGTCTCACCTAAAATCCCAGAGAAAGAGGACACTTTTTCGAAATTCTTGCAGTCGACTGAGAATTTTATTTCCACCGAAGTCTTCCATCGTGGCAGTAGACGACTCTCGAAGTCGCGTAAATCCATAGATATCATCTCCGAGCAAGATGATACATTCTCGAAATTCCTGCATTCGGCTGAGAATTACGTTTCTACCGAAGTTTTCCATCGCGGTAGCAGAAGATTATCAAAATCGTCCAGGAGGGAATCGGTTTCTCTCATGACTCCCGAAAGCATGTATTTCAATCTCCCTTGGTTCTCGCTGAGAGTCACCGATAAAAGCCATGAGGATTGCAAGGAGAAGATCGATTGCGACATCGAACGAGACACCCGAAGATTGTCATTCGTGCCTACAATCCTCTATCAAAGTATCACGAATCATATTGGTGTTGATTTCACGAAGCTGGTGGCTTACGCTTTTGTGCCTTGCACCTCGATCATCCTTCTGTATATGTATAAGTAGTCATTCTCATCTGACGATATTTATATGTTGTTTCGATGCGATTCTAACCGTTTTACCAGGCGTATACTTGTTTTATAGAGACTCTTATTAGATTATCGTGGATAATGTGTTGATCCATATAAAAATATTTCGTAAATAATATGTGCTCTTTTATTACAATCATAGTGCGTTTTGTTTTTCTTGTCACTAGAATGCGCACTAAAATGTGTTAAATTGATTTTATCCTATAAAATAAATAACCGGAATGCAAAGATACTTTATGTGAAAATCGATCCAATCTGTGTATGAGCGAAGATATAATTAATTTTTTCCCCTTATCCATGTGAAATAATTTTTAAGTAATTAAACTGTTGAAACTTGTGTTGTTTGTATTTAAACCTTCTGTCAATATCGTTATATACGTTATATGGTTTAATTGTTTTTCTACAATAATAATACGCGAGTGACAATAAGAAGAAATTGAAAATTTCATATTCATTATATATATATCATTCACTATCGTTATTTATTTTTTATTGCTATTCCAATTATTTAAAATTACTTAAGTTTTTATCATCTAATCGATTATAAAACTATAATTAAAACTATAATAATCATTATATTATAACTCAATTCGATATGGTATATTCTACAAGAGATATTCAATTTGGTTATTCAGAAAAGTAAGTATATATTCAATATCGATTTTTTAAACTGCTTTTTCCAAGATTTTTTGACGATTAAAAATTGTCGGAATTCTTAAATACTTTGTCTGCAATTTCGTTAACGCAAAAATTTGTTAGTTAAAGCTACTTATTTTTGGAAATTAATAGTTGATAATCAATTGATAATTTGTAATATTATCCACTGTCGAAGCAAAAATAAATTTTTTAATTTTCTGTACCATTGATCTTTTAGACCTGTAAACTTTTAACACACATATTATTCTTTACAAGCTAAAAATTATTGTATGGTATAAAAAGCAAAACAGTTTTTGATAAACTAAGGTTTTGTTTTGCAACAAATAATCATTCCCAGACCAAAAATCAATAAGATATCCAATAATCTTTTGAGAAATTCAGACTTTGTTCAGTGCATTCACAATTTTGATTTAGACAATAACACC